CCTTCAATCCCTGTGCCAGAAAACTTGGATCGTTCAGGCTTGCGTTGCTTCTTCGGGACCCAGTACAGGATTTTCGCTCCAAAGGGAATGCGCATGCCGTTGAACTTCTCACCGTACCTGATTTCCCACGGAATCTGACCGTTGTCAATCCTCGCAGTGATGTTAAGACACATAGCATGATGTTGCGATGCAAGAGGCCAGTAGCGATCTGGAGTCCTGATTGCACTAGATTGGCCCGTGTGCCTTCCAAAATGGTTCTGATTTCTCGTTCGATTACGGCCTTGTTTTCGTTCACGTACTCCCTAGAGGTGTTGTGACGAGCGCGAAGCTGCCTGGCCGCAAAGTCAAATTCCAACGCGTTGTCGGAATATATAACCTTTACCTCATCATCTGTACCAAGGAAGTGCAACATGTCTTCGTAGCACTGCTCACCAGGCTTTGTCTTGGAAGGATACACGTATCTGAACTTAGAATACACGTCCTTCACAACATGAGCCACGGTTTCTTCTTGGAACCCGCAACCCTTGGCATCAGCAGTCACGATGTGATCTACCGTGATGTGGTCACCGAACGATTTACTGTAGATTGTAGAGGATCCACCAGATTTCCGCGCCTGTGGCGCATACATCTTGGCCCTTTGACAAATGGGGCAGAACGGATTCTTTGGCCTCTGGGTAAGTCGATGTTCCAAAGACACAGCCTCAGCCCTCAAGGAAGCTTCATCCTTCTTAGACTTTGGCATAGTGTATGGCTCGACATCGCTGTCGGCTTGCGCCTCAACTTCCCCTTCAGGCAAAGCAAACAATGTAATCGTTGCAATAGTCCCTTCAGGTACTTCCCCATAGAATTCCGTCCAACTCATCAATGTTGAGCGAATCCTCCAACAAAGACCACACGTCATCCTTGAATCCCCAAGTAGTCCGGATTCTATACCTCGGGAACTTAGGAGCCGGTGTACGAAATGTCTTTGGGAAATGAGCCACCTTAGCAGCGGGGCTGCCATTGATGACCGTCCAACCTGCCTTTAGCAGTTGCCTTGTTTCCACCCCAGGAATGGGAGGAATACAATTCGCCATCTTTTCGATGGGGTCTTCTGCCACGCCAGCTGGACCTTCAGGTTCATGTTCATGCTCTCCTCTAGCTGGTGCGGCATGCCCTTGCGGGCAGCTGTTTACCGAAAACCCGAACCGGACTTGACAGACGTCGGTGCAACCTTGCTGCTGTCAGATTCTGAGGACTTTGCCGCTAAGCATGCCATCAATGGTCCTCGGTCGCCAAATACGGGAACATTGCCTCGGAGTTGGCAAATCATCTTCTGACCGTCTGGGCAAATGAAATATGGCGCCTCACCCGTAGGCCAGTGGAAAGAGAATCCCTGTTCCATGCACTTCTTTCCTACAGAGCAAACTGCAGGTGTGTTGGGGGAGCTCAACGAATCGCAATGGGTTCCTCAACGACTCAATGTCGACCTCGTGCTTCGTCTCAGCGTCTACTGGTCCGTTAGCAGTGATCAACTCACTGGGTTGGAAGCAACCTTCTTAGCCTTGCCCTTGAAATGGGCCTCCAAATCAGAGTGACTAATCAAGTCTTCCTCACTACCGGTGTCTGCGATGATTTCGAGGTTTTCACCTGTCACCGCTGCTGCAGCAAGTTGGGGCAGGGGAATGGCTTCTTTGCAGTGCGTGCAGAATCCTTCTCTACCCCGACACCTGTAGTTGCACTTGACCCGAACCTTAAGCCTCATACCGTTCACTGCCGATTCCAAGTGACGGGCATTCTGCAAGGCTTCTTCAGTGTCCTCCGGGTCAGATGGTGGGCATCGGTCCGCCGACTTGTGCCTGAATTCGTACTTGCGCTTCTCTGTGACGAACCTCCAACCTTCACCCTCAAGCGGAATGTCGATGATCTCTGGCCTCAGGAATTGGACCTTATTTTTGGTCCCAGACTTCACGGCATGGCCCTTGCGGGCTGCTACTGCGTAGGATTTCCCAGCACTGGACGAGGGCTCACCCGTGAGGGTGGCTGCAATGGAGAGGCAACAAGCTGCTGTCTTCTCCTCGCTCTTTGCCCTCTTTTTGCTAGGTCGCCTGCGCTTGCCGGAAGGCGATCTCTTGCCGTCCTTGCCGGACTTGTCACCCTTGGCCGGGACAGACGGGCTGGCGTCCTTATGCATAAACGGGCAATTCTTCCCGTTTTTGCAGGTGCCTTTGGGATAGAAGATGCATGGGATCTTGGAGGTGTCCTTCTTATCCCCGCCTTTACCGCCTTTACCTCCACCTTTTCTCGAAGGGGTTCGAGGGGGAGTTTTCTGCCCCTGGTCTGTTCTGGCTTCACGTGCTTGTAAGGGCACTTGTCACCTCGTGGGCATTTGCCCCGCTGGAAAGCGTGGCACGGCTTGTCCTGGCTTCTACCGCGAGGGGTGTTCGGAGCATCGGAAGGGGCAGGGGCACCAAACTTGGCGCCGTGAGCCTTGGCGATTGCTGATCGGTTCTTTCGGGTCCTATCCCTTGCCAACAGCTCTTTAACGCATTTGACCAGATAGTCATAAGTGCGTTGATCCGTCCCTTCCTTAGCCCTGTCGTAGACTTCCAGATCAAACTTAAGCTTGCTTGAGTTGCGAAGCTGTCGTAACAAGATGTCCCTCAAGGTTGTTTCCTCCGGCTGGTGGTTCAATCCTGCAATGACCGATTCCCAGTTGTGAATGAAGGTACTAAGGTCGTCACCACTCAGCTGGACCTTGAGGAGGTCTTCTACAGAGTATAGAGGGATCCTGCTTCTTCATTCGTCTTAAAGTAGTGTTCGAACATCAGTAGAACTTGCCTACCTCGAACCGCCCTACCTGCAGCTGCCTCAGACTCCTTGTAATTAATGATCTGTCGTCCCAAATCACCCCTGGCAACTCGCGAAAGCGCCGAAAGAATCTTCGTGTCCAAAGTGAGGAACTTGCCAGTGTCCCTCAACTTCTCCGAATCAGCGTCCCTCGAGTAAACCTCTTGAACCCATTGGAATGCCTCATCGGGTTTGTCCGATGCCGCCCGGACTGCCTCCCTAACCGTGATCTTCCAACTCCTGTAAGTCTCCGGGTTGGGGAAGTCGGGTAGCTTCACAGTCTCAGCTTCCTTAGCCTTGGGTTTGTCATCATCGGGCTTCTGGATAACTGACTTGCGTGCTTCAGCAAGGAGCACGCTTGGTTCTTTGTTTTCACTGGTGTTTGCCGGTTCTTTGTTGTCACTCTGTTCAGCAGTAGACACCTCTACGCCGGGGCCCTTTGTGTCTTCAGGCTCGGTAATGTCAAACCGTTGGGTCCTTCCCAAAACAGTCCGAAGCGACGCAGGAATTTCCCTGGGGTTCGGTAGGGTCGGAATCCACGAACTACTAGGACCCTGAACAAGCGGCGCAGTGGCACCACCTTGCAGTGGGCTTGGTTGAAGCTTGGAGCTCTCACTGGGATCAACTTTCACCGGCACGGCGCCACCTTGCGGTGAGGTCAATGTCTTCCTGAATGACCCCCGCATCCAGAGTGCGTTGGAGCTTCGAGCAGAACAAAGACACCGCTTCGCATTGGACAACGTGTACGCCGAAGCCAACGCATACATCGCACATCTAGAAGCAACAGCGGACGCGAACCATCGTCAGCAGCTGGCATTCGTGAGCCAATCCACACACCTACTGGTGGGGCAACTTCACAACGAAGTCCGAGTGCTAGAGACAATCGCCCGTGCAGAACAACGCACAGCGAATGAGCTGCAGGCACAGCTGGCACGCACACAAAGGGAAAGTCATGATGAACGGTCGTTGGCTATGCAGTTTGATGCACATCGATCCGAGCTGGAAGCAGCAGCACGCACGCTCACTGCCGAAAACAGACAGCAAGAGCACCGTTTCGCGGAAATGCGCGCATCCTTCGACGAAAACCATAGTGAACTTATAGCCTTTTTGGGTTCCGAGTTTGAGGAAAAGCTTCAGTGGGAAGAAAATGAATTCCAGTGTGGGCTCACCTCTGAGGACAGCAGTACGACAACTTGGTTGACGACCTGCAGGATCGAAATGCTGAGCTTATAGCTGAGGTCAACTCCCTAAGGACTGTCTTGTCGACAGCGCAAAGTAGCCCCCATTACGGAGCAAACTACCGCTGATAACCTGAAGATTCTCAGGCTAACAGCTTAGCACGGCTTGGTACCGGTAAGTCAACCCTGTGGACCTTTTTCCAATGGGGACTTGGGCCAAGTGCGCGTCGCGTACAGACATAGCTAAGGACCATAAGAATAGTCATGGAGGCAGGGTAAAATCTACAGTACATTGCAGTCGTCTTTCGCTTGCTCGTGTCACTACTAAAGCAGCGTCTTGACCGGGTCACTGCGCTAGCATACTCGAAGTAGCATCAATCTGTGCTGCCGTGTCTCTATGTCCCAGTCTTCCATCTCGTGGCTCGGGCGCACCCGCCCTTGGGAAAGGCGGCAAGCCGAAGTTGGCAGATTCACAGACGGTGCAAGCCTAATTCAGACCAGCCGCTGCCGCTGCCAGCTTCTGGAAGTGTGACGAGACATCCGGCAGAGGAGGCCAACTTTTGAGCCAAGCTGCAGAAAAGAAACGCTTTTTGAGCCGTTTTTAACGACCGTTGGGCTACCAGTAACTCGATTTCGGATCCGCCAACAGATTCACGAAGCAATTTTCGCCTGCGGCCATGCCACAACTCAAAGTTGGGAAGCTGGGAGGCTCTCCAGATCACCGCAGCTTTGGCAGCTGCAGAAGGTCCATGGGCTAAGGCAGACAAGCAGGTATGAAAACGGTCATGTCGTCACCAATTGTAGACAGTAGAATTGAAGCAGCCGTCGTGATCGAGTGGTGAATGGTGAATGGTGGGCGCCGGTTGTTTTGAAGGGACCTTGAACAACAGGTTGGCAGCAAGCAGGCTTGTTGACAGCCTTTCAAGCTGTGCTTGTGGACAGAGTGGATCCAGACTCAACCGCTCAAGATTGTGCCGTGGCAGGTTGGCTGGCCTCGCGAACCATCTGCAGCTGAGCTGCATTCCACAGATCCTTCAAGGCATTCAACTCTGTGGGCAAAACCCTCCCCAACTCCCTGAAGCGTTTCGACCAGGTGCGTCATGAGTCTTGGCACTCTCTAGCTCCTGTGCACGAGGGATAGAAGAGTTTCAAGCATGCAGGTGAGACATCCAGCCTCACCTCCTTGGAATACAAGTGCTCTCGCTTGTCTTTGGAATGGTCCTCTCAAGACATTACGTCCTTACGTCCTTCCCCAAAACTGCCACAACGCGTCCCGTCCTTGAGAGTTTGCTGAGCCCAGACCGCCGCACCTTCCAAGCTGTCGTAATGGACCTCACGGGACTCAAAGTGCTGCTCGCGCACTGCTCGCCGCTCACCCCACAGAGTGATTCCAAGGTGCATTGTAGAAGCAGAAGTTGTCTGACCTGAGGCATGAGTTCAGCAGGCCGCAGGTATCTGCAAAGCGAATGTGTCCCAAACACAACTGGGCTGCAAGCAGTTCCCGCCTCACAACACTCTCCTCAATGAAAGCTTCACCTTACATCTGTTCAATTCGCAAGAGGATGCAGAACTTTTGATGTTTTCAGTCAATGTTTTGTTTGGCCGAGCTATTATTTCCAGTGCTTGCTCCACGCTGCAAGATGCTACAAGGTCACCGTGCTGTGCTCGCACAGGTGAGTGGGTGAAAATATGAAACAAACTTGGATTTGGATAACACAGAACATCACAGAACGAAGGATAAGAGGCAAGCCGAGATTCCTATGTTGGGATGCTTTGATTCGTTTACCAAGATCTGCGCACGGAGATGCATTTCGCTTGTGAAAAAGAATGGACGCAAGGATGTTGTCGAAAAGGATCTTGTGACCGCAACTTGTGCTTGGTCCAGACGTCAGCTCGCGAAGGAAATGACCTCCGACTTGCCCACTTCCTCATCTCCCTGTCCCGATCTGGAGTTGCACAGTACTTTTTGCCACCCGCCCAGCTGAACACTGTCGCACCGCAGGGAACTCGTTGGAATCTGATTTGGGAGAGGGATTCGGGGGGAACGTCGTGCTGAAAAGCCGAGAAGCACGTGAGACCCGTACAACGGCAGACGAACGTACCAGCGCCGAACCCTGCAAACCTGGCGCTACTCAGGACGGCAGAAGGCGACGCAGTATTTGGGTAAGAGGCATCGCGGCTCTTTGGGTGAAGATATCTTGAAGAGCGAGGTTGGGAGAAACAACAGGATCAGAGGCAGACCTACAAGTACTGTCATCTACTTCACGAATTGTGCTCCGACACAGTCCCGGGCATCCCCGGGCATTTAGCCATCCGGAAGAGGGATTGCGTCAACCCTTCCCAGTTGCCAAATCATAAAAAAAGCTGAGGCAAAACTTTTACATACTCGGACTGGCATGGAGATCCCGAGGCCGCAACAGGACAGAATTCGTGGTTGGGGATAGACAGCTGTCTTGGTCACCCGTTATGCCATCACCAAGTGAGGAAGATTTGGATATTTGGATTCTTTTCAAACGGAAAGGCAGTTGCTGAAGACGGGCACTTCGATCGGGCGTCTTCATCAATCCCATGAAGCTCGAAGCGGACTGCCGAGACGGCGAAACTGCTGCATGATACTAATATGTCCGGGCATGACGTTACAGCAAACTCGGGCTCGAGGTCCAGGGCCAGGCTGGGGGATCGAATCATTGGGGCGGGCACTGACTGGTGCGGCGCTTTGTTGAACAACGGCTGGCCCCGTTGACAGAGGACAAACCCAAGGCCCCCAAAGGCTTCTGCCATAACAACTGCGAATAAGTGAAAGAAAGGGGAAATCTCACTGGACTACACGATTCAGTTAAGGCCCTGTTCGCTTGCAAACGGTTCCAATGCAGGGCGCTGTGACAAGTGCAGCGCAGCAGTTCAGAGGATTTTCTCAGGTAGCAGCAGCTCTTCTTTTCGCTTGATGTGGCCGTCTGGATCTCCCCGATCCGGCGCACGCGCAGAGCCTCCGGAATGTATCAGCCATTAGCTATCTGGAATGAGAAGTGTAGCAGCCGGCGTCTTCCAACGACCACACTTGCTACGATTCCTCGGTACCTTCACCCTGCTAACAACATTCAGCTGACATTGTTAGGCCTACATATCCGTAAGCTCGGTGCGCATCTTTGTGCAGAGATCTGCCCTGAGCTGTCGACGCATGGCATTCGTCGGCAAGTGTGCATGCTGCCATGTGAGATAACGATGTCGCACCAAAGCCGAAAACATGCACTATCTTGTGCTTCATTTGTCTGGTTTCCGCACCTTCGAACAGCTTTGATGCACGGCCCCGCTTCCCTTGCATTGCGGTCTACTGCCGAAGCACAGCAGGTGTCCGACAACTGCCTCAGGCCGGCAAGTCCCAATGAGAAGTCTGGTGAGACATGTATCTTTGCACCGGGTTGCAGAAATTTCACATGTGTTGGCCGCTTGGGCGGTACTCTGACCCGGCCCCCAAAAGAAGTTGACTTGGTGAGATGCGTGGCAGGCACCTGGATGCAACTGGCACACGTGTCAACAAACAATCGCTTCTTGTCGAGCTTGGCCCTGGCTGCCGTCGTTGCACATCGCTATCTGCCCAGCGCCTTCTCCATGATCGCCCATCAAGCAAAGCAAACAATAACAAGGAAGATCCGTGCTATCCTCCATCGCGCCACATGTTGTGGCGTTGGGGATCCTCAACTCAACATAGCTGAGCCATGGAATGCCCTCGTCCTTCCACACCACTCCCCCATGTATAGAATGCTGGGCAAGGGCCGCACTGGCTCGAGCTGGAAAGGCTGCAGAAATGCTGCGCTCCGGTGAGCTGTCAGTGCATCGATCTCTGTCATTGGCTCCGAAAGTTAAGGCTGCCAAGGCTCCGAAATGTAGCCAGGGGGACAACCCCGACAGTGCATTGTCCTAACAGAAAACAGAACGGCCGGCCACAGTTGAGCAGTCAGTTCTTCACTCTCACTTATAATCTTTTCATGTTCAATGCCGCCCGTCCGACCGTCCGAGACTACTTAGCTCTTCGGGATTCTCAGTGGCACAGCACGGCTGAGCACTTGAGCGTCTGATCGGGCTGGGCTGCTACTCAGCTTTGCGGTATGATGCCCTGCTAATGAGATGGGATGATGGGAAGGCGTATCCATTGTTCAGCAACAAGTCCCCGGTATTTAAATCTTAAATACCTGACACATCCTGACACCATCTGACACCCGCTTGGTGGAAGCATCGCAGGTTCAAACAATACGCTGTTGGAAGCAGTCTTGCAAACTGTGGCAGTCCCCGACGGCAGCACGGAATCCAGCTGAACATAGTGAACATAGTGTTTCGTTCGACGAGTGGTGTCCTGGTGTCGCTATGAATCTGCTCGTGGCTCTCGCGCTCCCGCTGCTCCCCGGGCTTGTCTTTTCTGTGGTTCCTGTTCTTCCAGTGAGTGCGTCGATGTGGGGGTGAGAGACGGTAGCGCTCTGTTCAGCAAGCCTTCGCACGCAGGATGTTCGTTTGTTGCAGATTTCAGTGCTTTGAATCCTTGTTAAGGAACATTCTTTGCGGATGCATAGAGGGGCCTGAGCGGAGCTCGGGGCCGGCTCCGAGGCTCTCGCGAAACAGCGGCTTCTCATGTTTTGCCTCTATGCTATAGCTATGGACGCTCTCTACAACGCGGGGCATGCTTGGACCGCTGCATTTGGATCATTCCGATGCGCGTCATACCTCGAGACGCAAGGTCGGGGTAGCCCAGCGATCTGAAGCGACTCTGCGCAGAATGCTGGCCTGGATATACGCTTACAGAAATCCTCCAGCGCTGCATGGCCGGCTGTGGTCCCCGGCCTGAAACCAAGGCTCCATGTCCTATCATGTCTTTGCAACCCGGAACTGGAAACTGTCAACTGCTTTGATAGGCTTGTACCGGCTTGGCTTAGGCATCTACACGATCGCCGCCACCGGTCGAACGGAGTCGTCGACCTCGGACATACTCGGCAAATAGCCTTGCGACCGCAGACCAGGTGCCAGCATGTGCAGCCTGCAGAGACTGCTCAGCTTGTACCCAATCGACTGGTTGAAAGTTGCCCTGGACGGACAAGTTTAACGCACATGTGCAATATTGTGCAATTTATACTGCGCGTTCAGGTTGTGATGAACTTGACGTGAGCAAGTGCTGGCTTGATGACGGCGAGCTCCTTCGACTTGTGTGGATGTTTCTCCACGCGGGGGAATTCTGTCAAGTACGTCCCTAACCTCGCAAGTGTCAAGCTCGTACGAATGAGGCCAAAACAGCACTCCTCAGGCCCCAACGACTGCATGATTTTTTTCCGGATGGTTCGAGCCTCTGGTCACTGGTGCCAGCAGGACTGGCAAAACTCTTGCTAAAACTCGAATGCCCCCGCAATCCCCGCGTCTGGACATATCTATATCATATCGTACAGGCTGTTTGATTCCAGGAGAGATGGTGAGTGGGGCGTCTGCGCTTGAGCTGGCCGCTGCACTACCAGTGTTGTGACGGCTGCCACTCTGAACACATGCATCGGAAGCCAGGAAATTCACTTGCTTTCATTGTCAACAATCCCCCCTTGTGCGGCATACCAGCCGGTATGCGTGCCGGCTTGCTTGGTTGAGCAATGTCTTCTGGATCCCGCCCCTGCCATGGGCCCATCCATAGACCCAACTCTTCGCTTCGTGTGGGTGCATGAGTGGCATACAACCACGTGCATTACGAGGCAGTGGAAAATCCGTCGGAAAAACCATGGAGACCCTCCAGACCACAAGTTTGGAGATGTTTGGCTCTGCTGCATGCCCAGGTTCCGGCAGCTGTTTCTTGCTTGTCTGACCTTTGGCCAGCACATCTCACGCTAAAGTGCCCCATGCATCGGTCGCTAAATACCAAGGTTGCAGCGCAGCCCAGACTGGGACGACATTATGCGCATCAACCTGCTCTGCTGCAAGTCACCACCCCAAAAGTGCTAAAGTCTGTTAGCCTGCAACTTAGCAAATTTGGCATTCTGAACTGCTTTGCTGGCAAATAAGACTGTCCAGCGCCTGCACGACAGGCACCTGCCAAGGGCTATATATGGATTCGGCTAGATCTGCACGGCTATGCAATGCTTTACTCCATCGATGTCGGGATCCTGTCTGGAGGTCAGACGGCTCACAAGCTCGAGCAAACACACTTTCTCCACGAGGCTCACAAGGGCAACGGCTACATCTGCAGTCCCGAGTGAGACACAAGTCACAAGCTACTATGTTCGGGGTTCAGAAGCAAAGCATTGCAGCTGAAGTGTGCAGCAATGTGCAATGCATGGGGCTCACTTCGTCAAGATGGCCTTCTTGTCCTTCCTATCCTACCTGCTCATCGGCTTCCGACTTCGTTCACTTGCAGCGTGTTCTACGCTTCTAGAGGACGGCAACCAGGGCCACAAAGGCAGGAGAGCGCGGTCGCAGCTGTCGTTCGTCGCAGGCTTCCCGACGGTTGACGTTTCAATGCCCAATTTCCCGATCTCCCAGGAATATTAATCATAGTCTTTCAGCAGGTATCTGCACTTCTGCAAAGCCTGCTCGCATTGCTCTTCCAGACCGGGTGGCGCCAGAGCAGGATTCCTGAAGCGCCGCACATGTGACAGAGTTCTCTTGGACTCTTGTAAGAGCATCTGGTGCGCTGTTAGAGCATGCGCGGCATGCGCCCTAACGGCTTCGCTCAGGCTGCCGACTTGCCGGGACTTGTGAGCATGTCGTGCGCTTTGCAGTTGCCGGACATCGCACAATATGTGCAGCACGCAAGACGTTCCATGTCTCAGCAGAAGCTCACACATGCGATGCCAGTGATCAGCAGGTCGCACTAGGGTCTGCGAAGCTTTGGCTGATGCCTGTGCCGCTGTGAGGAGATCAGATAACGTTTGCCGAGTCCTGTACGCGGAGGCCTGCAAATGAAGGTAGGTGGCAAACCTCGCCCACCAAGCCAGTGCCACTTCTGCTTGCAAACCGGCCAGGTGTGGCCGCATAGCTGAGTTTTCCAGTGCGATTTGTTGGGCAGCTCGCTGTTGCGTGGCAACAGCATTGAGCACGTATTGATTACACAATCGGAATTGCGTCTGCGACGTGAAGAGCACAAGCAGCTGCCACCTTCGCATTGCAGCCTCCTGAACTCCTACAGTAGCTACTTCTGCAGCGGCCTTTGCCTTGACCATGTCGATTTCTTCTTGACGTTGGACTTCCACCTCCTGCAAGTGAAGGTTGGATGTCCGTCTTTGTGAAGCCGCACGGCTTGTGATGTGCTTCAGAGTTCCGCAGCTTGCTGCTGACTGCAGGTCACGCAAAATGCTCAAAGCCATGCGGGACCAACGCTCCTCCCGAGCAAGCCGGCGCTCAGCTTCCAACTGACCCTTGCAATCTTGCAGCTCTGCACGTAACTCCTCTATGGTCACCATTGCTGAAGAGCTGGCTAGCTTCATTGACCTTGTTTGTTGGAGTCTGCTGACTTGTTGCTCATGGGCCTCCCTGGTCTGAAGCTGCAGCATAGCCAGGCGAGCCCAAACTTCTCTCATGAAGCGACGGCGCAACTCATTTGCAACTTCAGTTGCCTTGTCTTGTCGTATGGAGGTGCGCAGCACGGCCACCCACTCGGCAATCTCCCGATGATGACTTGCCCACGCACGAGGCAGCATTTTCCTGGCCATGAGCTGCAACATAAATCGCGCCCAATCTGCTGCTGCTGCACTCTGCCGTGTGGCCGTCTCCAACGAAGCACGACATGCCCCCTGCACGTCACCAAGCCTGGCTCTGAAAGTCCGAGCCATGCCACCGGTCCCGGCGATACGTTCGCTGATGCAACTTTCCCCAAGCAACTGGAAGACCAATCCTATCCATTTCGGGATGATCGACCAAAACGTGGCAGTAGCGGCGAATGCTTGAACACGGCTTCGGAACTTGCTGGTTGCAGTAGCTGAATAGTTTGCCAACGCGGTGGCATGCTCCTCCTCTGCTGCGTCTCGTTGCAATGCCAGAAAGAGTCGGGCCCAGCTTGTGGTCAAGGCAAAGGAAGCCGCCGCTCCCCGCAAAGCTCGAGACAAGACTTCTTGATGCTTGGATGAAGCAGCTAGGGACAAGCGACCAACTTGCGTCAGGCGGTCGGAGGCCTGGCAGGAGACAAGCACTGAGGTCTTTAGCAAATCAAGGCATCAACATGCATCAACTGTAGAAGGCCTTGTCTTCCGACACCAGCTTGGTGCACAACGCTGTCCATCGAAGCTCCATTGCTCTTGACTTGTCCTTCCTCTGCGAGTCCTGTCCACAGAACTTAGAGAAGTGTCCGCGTTGCTTGGAGTTTTGCAAAGGACATTTGACAGCGACGGATCCTCCTTGACGAGACCTAATGTTGCAGCCACTTCGCTGCTGGATTCCTGACAACTGCATCACATAAATGCTGGCAAGAGGTCATCGAACCCTTCGCAGTCTTCCAACTTCGGATCTCATGGCAAACGGGAGCGAATATTTGCCTTGCAGTCCGATGCCCAACAGAGTCCCAACATGAAGGTCGTCCAGCCTGGGCTACATGAGAAGCAGCTGCTGTCCCACCAAGATATGTTGCGCAAACAGTTGAGGCAAGCTGCGAACCAGCAGCTGCCCAGAGCGAGCCTGCATGTCCACATCTTTGACCCTTTTACAGTAGCAGCCGGCTTCACTAACCTCCAAACCTCTTGACTGACGATCGTTGACCGATGCCTGGCGGCTCACTTCCTGGGCCTTTGTGGCCATCTGCAGCTCCACCTGCCAGTAAAGACGTCAACTGATCGTCTCAGAACTGACACCTGAACCCGCGCCCACATAAAACAAAAAAGCTTGCAAGCAAACAAACGAACATAAGGACACACACGGACACGGACACGGACACACGGACACACACACACACAAACAAACAAACAAACAAACAACGACACACAAACAAACAACAACAACAACAACCACCACACACACACAGGCACACACACACGCAAACAAAGATGCACACTCGCGCAATGCTCCCACTGATGACTACTACAATCGAGGTGAAGATGTACAGCCACTGGGCAGATTGTTGGCTTAGCCTCACCACCACGATGCTGAGAAAAGTGCAAATTGCTCTGATGCAGGTACGTCTGGCTGATTTTTCCAGATATCACCGTGCACTGACAGTGTCTTCGTCGGGCAGTGACTGTCAGGCATGCACTGCCCCCCTGCTTTTTCCAAGAAGCGATCCCTTGGTGACAGGGTTTCCCACACACAGCAAGCCACTTGGGCAATGCTGCACATGTGCTGAGCAGATTGATAAACCGTGTGAAACAAATTTAGTCAGGCCATGTGCGGACACATGAAACCGGTAAGAGTGTGTGAAGCGATGTGACCGGTTCGGAATACGGCACTCTGCTGCCATTCTGGTGGAGTTCAAAGCATTGAACTTTGGGTCGTCTCCCAGTGCAGTCGAAAATTAAAATTCTGGACGGCAGTAAGTACTTCACATTGTCGACGATATATGACGATATCATTGGTCGAGCAGACAATGTGGAACTCCATATGTTGGTGGAGTGTAGCTCTGTCAGGCGGCACATGTATATCCAGCCGAAACACTTGTTGCGACGGCCATGGCAATCCTGCATCGGCCGCAGTACGTTTCATGCTTACTGTGCCGGTCTGAAATCAAAACGGCCGTGAAAGGAAAGGCAGAAACTGGTAAGGAGCGTCATGCTGCCAACACGTAGCATGAGTTGCCAGACTTGATTTTTTATCAACGTTCGGCTCGCTTGGAAATGGAATTTAGGGCGCTCTTGAAACGATGCGCGTTAGGAGTATTTGTACGGGGCATAGAATTGAAGACGTCCAGAACGAGCTTAGCCCGTTTGGTACGTCGCACCTCAGCACAAAGAGAACGTGCCGGGTCTCTACAACAATAGTGTCGAACTGTTGGCCAAAATTAGCAGACTGGAGTCTGCCTTGTTGCGTCTTTAAATGGTTGCTGTCGACACAGACGACATCAATGGATGCTTGAGACCTGGAATTATTCACAGGCTTAGAAGAAGAAGACGTCGAAGAGGTAGATGATTTAGAAGATGACGTCGAAGAGGAGGAAGGAGAGGCTGATGAAGACGATTTACGTCGGCGTTTGGCTCGATTTTTTTTTGACATAGCGCTTTTTGGACAGGTGTGGCTTTGGTCTTTGTGATGTCTTCGTCGTCCTGGGTGGATCAAATGTGCCGGAAGACAGGTCACTGGAGTCCGGTTCCATTGCAGGATGGCGACTGGTGACTTGAAAAAATGGCTGCTGGTTTGATCAGCAAGACTGAAAGCAACACTCCGGTGAAACACATCACTTCTTGATTTCCTTGAAACTGCTCACGCTGCTAGCTGCTAGCGGGTCGATAAAGGCTTTGCCTTTAGCCATAAGATCCTCCGCTTCAGTTTCTAAACCAGCTACAACTGCATCTGTAGAGGATGCTGGCTCTGAAAGGCTGGAAGCTGCAGGCATTTCCATAGCTGCAGTCAATGTGGGCGGAGCTGGTGGAACTGATGCTGATTCTTGCTTCCGTTCCATAGTTTCTTCAGAAAGCAAACGATAGAGGCGTGCATTTGCCTCTTCTTGAAAATGATCGGAGCGGGAAAGTTCAAGTTCCGGCTCCGACGGAGGCACTGTGTGATGCTCAGGCCGTTCGCCTGGAAGAACAACCCCAGTGGCTGTTCGAGGCCACATGCCCCAGTCATCTTCAAGAACCACGAATTTGTTCGCCGGCTATGTGCCGCGGCTCCCGTACAGAAGATACTTGGATCGAGCCGTGAAAGTCCGTTTGACCCAACGGACTCAAAAGTGGGCCATATTGTACCGGTTCTCGCTGCTGCACATCTGATAGCCCAGCGTTTATCTGAGCTTGGACTATGTACAAGCGGATGATACCGACATAGCTGGTTGTCATTAGACACGCTGGCAGACTTGGACTTGACATGAGAACAAGTGAGGCCACCTCCCACCATGATGCCACAGGAATTCTTTGTGGAGTGGTGGAGTTCTGAAATGAATTGTTCAACGCCCT